CTTAATGATCAGTGCTAGGTCCACACCCAGGATCTGGACTGTGAACCCCAGGCTGCCGAAGCAGAGAGCATGAACTTAACCACTACACCACCAGACTGGCCCTGAGATTTAACTTTGTAAGAGGTATATCTGCTAGCCTTGTACAGGATGGTTTGGAAAGGAGATGATAGACTAAAGCCATGTGGATCAGTTAGCACACAACTGAAATCATGCAGATGTGAGGTGAGGAAGTAGGAAAGAAAGATAAAAGAAATGGATAGCCCATGGAGCTATATCAGAGGTAACATTTAATGCTATTGTTTGATGTTATATTAATCAAAGGAAAAATAATAATAATACACAGGATTTCTATTAAGATATTCATAAGGCAGACTCTCAGCCTTGGAAGACAAGTAAAACATTGAATAGGTGAGACAATCATGAAAGAACAAAACATGAGTTCTAGAATGTTTCAAGAAAAAGACTTATAGACTTGGATGAAAAGAAGACTGTGGGGGATTAAATTTAGTGGACTGTGAAGATCAAATTGAAAACATGAAGTATGAGGTTTTGCTCAAAATGAGTGGAGTTTTTTTGTGAGAAAATGTTTCTTAACATAGATTTTTGCCCCAAGAACTTCAGATTAATGTTGTATATTCATGTCTTAAGAGAGAGTTCAAGGAAATAGCCTCAAGATGACCTGTCAATTTTCAATAATTTTCTGTATTCCATCTTCCTCAACTCTTAGTCTTTCTCTAGATTAACATAAATGCATAAGTAGTATAAGAGTAAGTTCTGGGCTACTTAATAAAGTATACATAAAATATGTACATTAATATATGTATATGCAAATATATAATAATGGGCATGTTTCCAGAATATGTAAAGGGCATTCAGAAATAAATAAAAAGCAAGGCACTTTAAAGGAAGAATTGGCAAAAGATTCAAATAAGTGCTTAACAAAAATAGTACTCAAGTGACCCTAAACATATGAACGTCACCTCACCAGAGGGCAGAGGAAAATAGGCAATTTCTTGTATTGGAAGGGCATGGAGCAATTGGAGCTCTCATACACTGCTGTAGGGAATGTAAATTGATAAAATCACTTTACAGAGATGGTTGGTAGTACTTACTATAGCTAACCTACTCATACCTTTAACCAAAGTACATACTTCTGTGTATATTCCCACCATATATGTTCAGCCAAATACATCAAAAAGTCTATTAATAGCAGCAACGTTTGTAACAGCTAAAGTCTGGAAAGCATCCAAATGTTTATCTGCAGTAGAACTGATTAACAAATTGTGATATGTCCATGCAATGGAATCCTATACAGCAATGAAAATGGACAAGCTACAACCAAATGCAACAATATGGATGAATAGCATATGCAAATTGAGGAAAGTAAGCTAGACAGAAATTATACATGTTGGAAGATCCTTTTTACATTTAAGTGCAAAAGCAGGAAAAAAATATATGATTTTAGATGTCAGGATTGTTATTATTCTTTTTGTGGGGAGAGGCAGTTGTAATCACCAGCAAAAAGAAGATCTGAAGAAGGCTTTTGGGAGCTCTAATTTTCTGTTTATTCCTGGAGGTCCTTGTTACATGGGTTTGTTTATGTTCTCTAAATGCATCACCAGTGCAATTTTGATTATATACCATTCTAGATTTAGGTTATAAATTTAATAAAAATTTTAGTATTACAAAATAACCTGATAAATACTCTTAGAAGATTTGAGAAGCTATGTAACATACAGTGGTAAGTCTAGAACTGCTAAGCATGGATTGAAAATATGCATGTTTCACTAAAATCCATGAATAACTTACTATTACCTCTGCAAATCAAAGAAATGAAAGTGTAATTATTAGTTCTCCTTGAAAGAACACTTACAAATTACTATTATTTGAAATAAGCCTGTAGCTGAAAAGATTGTCATTTTCATTATTACAGGTAGCATAACTACTTTGAGGTTTTTTGCAAAACTGCTATAAATAGTCAAAGTCATCTGTTTATCATCCATTTAGTCAAGCATTTTGGCTCTGCAAAGTCAAAAAGGACATTCTCTTCTTAAGTGCCCTAATACTGGCCCTTAAAACCTAAGTTATTTCTGTTCTTTAGTTTGAATTCAAAGTTTAATGATCCACACACTTTAACCATCTACTTTAATAATAATAAAGAAGATGTTGTAGGATCTGAAAAAAAAAACTAGGCTAAAGTCCTCTTATAAAGACTTCTAATTACCCCACATTGTCACAGAACGAATATCCATTACCAATAGATTACCCCCCAGCCCCAGGAAATATCTGAGATTAACTGGAAACTCCTTGGGAAAAAGTACGTGAAGTCCCAAAAGTGTTTCTCTGTAATAAATGATGACAAAAAAGGTGGAGAAATGAAGGATCTAGGGAGAAGGTGGAGCTGTTTGCACACCCGTGTGTCTGTTTGTACATGCCTACAAGAAATGTTTTCTCAGACAGAAAACAATTCTGCGTTTGTTCTTCTGTCTCTCTATATTGTAGCTCTTTGGAGATACATAACCTGATTGACTTGACCAAGAATAGTCACATGCTAAATAGAGTGGGCTTCTAATTTATCAAATTCTGATTGTTTTTTGCATGAAACTGAGCCAAACATCTGTATTTTTATGCAACTATGAGGTAGAATGAGAACAAAACTGTGGCTAAAACACCCATTAGCAAAGGTGCAAGCCAGGCAAATTTTATATGTTAGCACCATACATCTTTCTAAAATTATGTTTTAAAATTGAAAGTGAGATTTCTTTTTTTTCGCATAAAACATAGCAGCAACAAAACTTCATCACTTTAAAAATGAGGACAGGCTTATCTTCAGCACAACAGTAAGGTCAAAATGCTATCTGGTGAAAAAAATTCCAGCTGGTAACATGTCTTTCTGAGAAGGGATAAGACAGGTAGACTGTTTCTCCTAAGACATAACAATGGGACATAGACTTAGCTACCATAAAATTAAGTTAGATGAAAACAGCTTATATTTTAATGAATTATCAAATGCCAATCATGGGCTAGCATGATAACTTGAATTCCTTGAAAACCCCAGACATAAGAGAAGACTTTCCTCCACTTGTCAACACTTTTCACCTGTCAACTATTCCTGAGAGGGACTAAGAACAGAGAGGATGGAAATACCAACTGTGCAGGATGCACAGCCTGCCAGTCAGTGAGAGTGGAGGAGAACGTAAAGCAACCTGCTTATTTACCAAGCCCTGCATGACTACAAGGTCGTAGTTGGCTGTCCAGAGCAGTGTGCTGGAAAACCATCTACCAGCGCCCTGGGCCTTGATGTGATGAGAGAAGCTCTCTGCTCCTGGGGGAGAAAACGCAAACTCATCTGCCTCAGTTCCCTCACTGCCCATGACGCAAAAACTATCTGTCATGGGGGGAAAGACAGAAAAAATGAGCAGTATCCCCAAACCTATACGTCAATAAAAGGCCAAGCCTGGCTACTACTGGGAGGCGGGCAGAAAGACTGCACTGACCCAAGACGAAAGCTCTCTGCTGCTATGGGGAGTATAGAAAATTTACCTATCACAGACTCTTTAAATTCTTGGCATTAAGCTATCTGCCCCTAAAGACTGAGGAGGAAGCACACCCATCTCTGGCTGTGCACTGCTATGAGGCAAACACTTGCCACAATTCAGAGGGTACCCAGACAATTTCTTTTGGTTCAGGAGCTTGCACTGAGTAGGAGGAAGTGATTGTTTGCCATGGAGGGGTAGGAATGCTGAGAAAGCCCAAGACTGAGGCTCAAGGATACAGGGCCAGCTTCAGGTTGCACTGGAAGCAGGGAAACTAAAATATCTTTTCCCCACTGTGAGTCTTACATTAAGTAGCAAGCAACGCCCTACTGCCAGAGAAGAACAAAAGCAGAGGGAGGAACTCATCTTCACAAAGTCTTCCTGGGCCTGCTAAAAGCTGACAGTGGGGCAAGAAAACACGGAGAGAAAGCCTCAAGCATTCCAGCCTTCATACTAAGCAGAAAGCAGCAGCAGTCTATCACTAGAGGATTTTCAAATCTATGGTTCACTGAACATAAATGAAGTAACCAAAAAATCGAAACCCCATGCTACTCCAAAATAGATTGATATGGTATGGCCAGAATAGACAAAACAGAGGAAAGAATTAGTAAAATTGAAGACGTGACAATAGAAATTATCTTAAGCACAAAAAGTGAGAAAAAAAGAAATGGATAATTTAAAACCCATGGAATAATATCAAAACATTGAAATACACAAGTAGTGGAGACCCAGAAGGAGAAAAAAAAAGAAAGAATAGGTCACAACAAATATGTTAAGTGATTAGGTTGAGAATTTTATAAATGTTTGAAAACAAACCAAAAAAATCCCACGGTCCAAGAAATTTGGAGAATCTGAAGTGTCATAAATACAAATAAAAACTCAGCCAGGTACACTGTAATCAAACTACTGAAAACTAAAGACAAGGAAAAATTTTAAAAGAAGCATGGGCAAATACAGACATGGAATGAATTGACAGTACAATGATAGCTGAATTCTCACAGAAACAATGGAAATCAGAAGACAGTGAAATTAAATATTTAAAGAGCTAAAAGAAAAAAATCTGGAAGTCTATTTCCTATAAAATATAGTTTTAAAAATAGAGATAAACTAAATAACAGAAAAAAAATCTTAAAGAATTCATCTCCTGCAAAATTACACTACCAAAAAACGCTGAAAAACAGTTATATGGTTTGAAGCAGAAAGATATAAAGAATAGAATAAATAGAATACTAAATAAAAGAACTTCTCAAAAATTCCTATTTTTATGCAAATATATCATTAAATTTTCTAAATTAAAGAAAAAAAAAAGAATAACAAGGGTTCAGGGCATCACATTCCCCGTGGCAGGGTTCCAGTGAAGTGGCTGTGGAGCCAGGTTGAGCGGGTTGAAAGCTGTAGCAGGGACTCAGGTCCCCTGAAGAAATTGAAGATGAGGCCATGGCTCCCAGAATAAGACAAAAGCGAATGAAAGATATAGATAATCTTGAAAGTATCAAGAATGAATGGGTTTGAGAGCCAGCCCTGATAATCTAGTGGATACAGTTCAGCACTCTCACCGCTTTGGCGGCCTGGGTTCACGTTCATTTCCCAGTCGCGGAACCACATCACCTATCAGTTGCCATGCTGTGGCAGCAGCTCACATAGAAGAATTAGAAGGACTTACAAGTAGGATATACAACCACACACTCAGGCTTTTAGGAGAAAAGGAACAAAAATAATGGATGGGTCTGAAAAAAGAATGGATCTGTGAAACAGGATCTGACAACCACTCTCTTAGTGATAATCTACAAACAAATTGAATATTTTGTTAACAGCCATTGAAAGAAGCTCAGAAGATTGGTGCTAACTGCTTGTCATCCACGGAAAAGAACAGGTAAATGTCAGTATAAAAGATTATGGAAAAATGAATTCTAAGAGTCTAATGATTTCAGAAGTTATTCTGATGACTCAAGTCAGCGGTTTCTGAACTCCATCAAAAAGAGGAATTACCTTTAGAGTTACATGGGATTTTTGATTAAGAAGAGGTGGATATTAAGGCTGAAGATGAGGAACATGAAGTAGGTATGTCAATGAAGCCTATATTGCAGCCCTTCTCAGGACAGGATCACAGACTGAAAAGCACCACACCAAAAATTTTTCTAAAGCAAAGAGTATTGAGGATGAGAATAAAGATACTCTGTCTGTTGTCCCACTAAATAGTCTGGAACACTTCACTAAAATACAAATCTTGTTAGCCAATTAGAAAAAGATCATCTAGAAATTTCATATTTCCCACAGGCATTTATAGCTATTCATGTCCCTCTAAACGCTGCTTGAGCTGCATCCTACAAATTTTGGGTAAGCCACATCAAATACTTCATTGGAAAATACCAAGGATCTCAAAGAAGTTCTCCCTTCCTCTGGCAGCAGCATTTCCTTTCCTCAAGTTACTACATGAAACATTCACATTGGAAGAAGCAGATTTGCACAAGGCTGCAATCACCCGGAGACTCCAAAAAGAGAGCTAAACATTTTAGAGAACTTCCATTGCCTTAATTTTTAATAGACTAAGTGGAAAATTTGCAGGGAAATAATGATTGTAAGTGAACAAGCAGACCAAAATGGAGTAAAGTCATATTCACTGGACTTTTGGTCTAAGTCCTATTTTAGTCTCCAGATGAGATTGCTAAAAATAAATACAAATTAGCAGAGTAAAATATGACTGGAGCTGTGTTCCTGGAATCCAATGCATTTTCTCCAAAACATTGCTCAGAGGGAAGAATGTACTTATTTTCAAATACCAATTAATCAACATAAGGTATATTATAATAGCTACATAATCAAGAATCTTAATATTACATATATTAGCAAATATGTTTGAAGCATTATTCATTCAAGGAGTATCCATTACCTTCCCACACAGCAGTGATTTATTAAAATGTTAGCTGTCTCAGATTTCAAAACAGCAATATTTTTAAAACTTCTATATTGCAAGTTAAAAGCATCAGTCATTATTTTATTACTGAGATATAAGCAGCAGGCTGCAAGACTTTGTCTTCACCTTAACTATGCCTAAACTTCACAGCACATTCAATTTTTATTCTCTAATGTCAAGATATACTCAAATGTTAATTTGGCAACTGTCTCTAAGTATTTTAATTTAAGAATAAAATTTTGTAGTTTATTAAAATATCAAAAAATAATAAAGAAACATAAGTATATTAGTATTCTAGGGATGCTATAACATAATACCAAACACTGAGTGGCTTAGACAACAGAAACTTCTTTTCTCACAATTCTGGAGGCTGGAAGTTCAAGACCAAGGTTCCAGCAGGGTTGGTTTCTCCTGAGGCCTCTCTCCTTAGCTCGCACATGGCTGCCTTTTCAGCGTGTCCTCACATGGCCTTTCCTCTATGTGTGCACATCCTTGGTATCTCTTCATCTTTTTATAGGGACACTGATTATCTTAGATTAGTGTCCTACCCTAACAACCTCATTTAACACTGACTACCTCTTTAAAGGCTTTATCTCAAAATACTGTCATATCACTGGTTAAGGCTTGAACATATCAGTTTTAGGGGGACACAATTCAGACTATAACAAGAGTTCTTATGGCATATGTAGAAGTCAAATATACAAAAACAAAACAGGTTGGAAGATAACTTTTTTAGAAACATATTGTGATAGAATACTTAAATTTTTATGAAACATTAAAATATTTTAAACAGAATGTTCAAAGTTGAAGATCAATATTGCATTCTCTAATGCAAAACACAAACATATACACATACATGCACATATGAGAATTAAAAAGAAGGATGTAAGGCAAGCTAAAATAAAACTGTAGAAAAATTACTTGATTCCACCCACAATTTAAGGAGACAACAGTGGAGGAACAAGGCTGAGACAAGTCAAAAAAGGATGAGACAACTCAAAATCAAAAAGCAGAATATTAGAACTGAATGCACACATATCAATAATTTACATTGCATGTAAACAGACTAAGCACTCCAATTAAAAGGGAGACATTGTAAGACTGGATAAAAAAAGCAAGATTCAACCATATGCCACTTACAAGAAACATTCTGTAAATATAAAGACACAAATAGGTTGAAAATGAGAGGATGCACATATGTTTACCGTGCATCAATTAAGCACAAAAAAGCTGTTGTTGATGTTCTTAAATGAAGAAAAGTTTAACTCAAGAATATAAGGAAGGTATTTAATATGCTTAAAAGGGTCAGTTAACTAAGAAGAGTCAATACTAAATTGTGTGCATCTTATGACAAAGCGCCCAAGAACATGATGAAAAGAAGCTAGAAAAAGAACAAGTAAGCTGACAGTAAGAAGAAAAAGGGAAAAAACCAATAACAGCATAAATCAATGATATAGAAGACAAACAAGAAAGAGAGAATCCATAAATGAAAGAATCACTAAAGTGAGAAGTTGTTTCTCCAGAAATATCAGTAAAATTCATGAACCCCTAGCCCAGAATGATGAAGAAAAAAGGAAAAGAAAAAAACATAGATTACTGATATCAGGAATTAAAGAGGAGCCACCACTACATATGTCACAGATATTAAAATGATAACCAGTGGATATTTTGGGGAATTTTATGCCAACAAATTTGAATAAAAAATGGAAAAGAAAATTACCTTTAAAGACGCAACCAACATCCATCCAAGAAGAAAGGGCAACTTAAATACTCCTTTGTCTATCTAAACATTTAATTCATAAATAACTTCCTGCAGTATAACATCAGTTTTGGATTGCTTCATTGATTGGTTAAATCAGACAGTTAAGGAATAAAGAATACCAATCAAGTTTAAACTTTTTCAGAAAGCAGAGAAGGAGCAGAGACTTCCCAAGTCATTTCAGGAGGCCACTACAACTCTGATAGCAAAACCAGACAATGATATTGCCAAAAGAAGAAAAAATAAGGAAAATTACAGAACAGTGTGTTTTATGAAAACAGATGTAAAGTCATTAAAATATTGGCAAATCAAATCTTTCATTACAAGAAAAAGAAAACACAGTGTCATCATGTGAGGTTTATACCAAGGCTGCAAGAATAGTTTTTCATCCAATATTACTGTTTCCTAACATTAATAGATTGAGAGAATATCATTTGATTATTTCAATGGATGCAGGGAAAGGATTGACAATGTAAAATACCTATTTTTGATTAAACATCTCAGCAAGTTATGAACAGAAGGAGGTTTTCTCAATCTGATAAGGACATCAATGAAAACTCCACAGCTAATTGATGTTAAGTTGGGAAATTAAACCAATAGATCGATTTCAGGAGTATTGACGTCTTAATAATATTAAATCTCTTCATCCATAGATCTACTATATTTCGATAGCTATTTAAATCTTTAATTTATAAGATTTTATAGATTTCAAATTGTATTTTTTAAATTTAAGTTTTAATTTTTTATTAATATAGGGATATAATTTATTTTTGAATATTAATTTTATATCCTGAGACATAAATTCATTTATTATCTTATACTTTTCTTGTAAATTCTTCAGTTTTCTATGAATACAATCTTATCTTGTAAGAATTCAAAGAATTTGATTTCTTCCTTTTTAATAACTATGCATTTCATTTCTTTTCCTTGTCTTATTTAACTAACTAATACGTCTAATACAAAATGAAATAAAGGTGGAGTGAATTGCCTAGGAAAGACCATGAGGAAAATTTCTGCGGTAGTGAACGTATTCTATGTCTTGATAGACATTCATGAAGACTGATTGCATAGTACTTAATATCCGAGCATTTCACCTTACACAAAGTATACCTTGCTTTTCTAAATCTTCCATATGAAAAATTATAAGTGAATAGAACACAGAAATTTAATTTTTGAGTATTCCTTTGTATTTTAAAAGTATTTTTCAACTTCTTACTATTTCACTCTACATCATACATCTATTTCTTTCAAAAGAAATTGAATTCTTACTACTGTGATAGTTTGCATCATTGACACCCAGTCCTTACTTCCATGTATTCCTGACCTTTGACCTTGCGATGTAACCTTGTAGTGTTCTTATATTCTGATTCTACACTTGTCTATGTGCAGTGCTTTGGCAAATAGAAGAAAGTGGAAGTTACAGTGTACCAGTCCTATGCCTAGTCCTCAAGAGGATCTGAGTGTTTGCCTTTGTTCTAGTTCATCTTTGTATTCCCATCAGTACTTACACATGCTCTAAGTACTATAAGTACTTCAAAAATAAAAATATGCAAAATATTTTTTACAGACATTACCTAGAGAATTCTGGTACTTCTTTCAATAAGACCATTTTCTAAAAGTCACTAGAAAAGTACTTTTGATTCACTGTTAATTGTGATATATATCTAAACATTAAATTAAAATCCAAAATCACCTGACATAAATAATAGAAAGTGTTTAAAGTCCCAATGATGCCAAGTAAGGTGAAAAGATTCTTTAAAATCTTATATTTAAATACAGTATTTATTTTATTAGGAAGCCCTGTACCATAATTGGCAATAAAGTTAAGAATTTTAAGATGATTTTATCAATCTATTGCCAATTTCTAACTCTTTCAGGAAATTTTACGTATCTGTGTTGTATTTCATATCATAGATTTATTTATTGTTTGTATATTCAACAGATTTTTGAGCATCTATTACATATGTGGCACCAATGCTATGTATTGGGACTTTTAGTTAAAAGTATAAATGGCTTCTGGATTAATCGTCTTAAAATCCGTTTTCAAGAGGTCATTGTATTTTGGGAGGAGTAGAATAATGTTGCATACCTCTCAAATACAATAATATGAATACATAAAAACCTGTTAATTCTGCCCAGAAACTCCATTGAAATGTCTAAGAATCTAATCAATCCACTATCTTAAATTGAGAAATTGGTTTACTCTGGTAGTAATCTGTCACATATTTAATATGTTTTCATTGTATCATACAGAAATATTGTATATTAATAATTCCTACTTAACCATAATGCTTTTAAAAATGGATTAATACACATAAATATTTGAACATAGCAAAAATATTGTCTCTCATAGAGATTTCCTGTTACTAACACCATGTATACATACACAAGTGATTGTGGCTGTGTTCTAATAAAACTCTATTTATGAAACAGTCCATAGGCAGGGCAAATATGGCCAGTAGTCAGGAATTTGGGGGCTATTCATCTAGAGTATATTACAAATAATTTTCTTTACTCTATTCTTTACAGACTGATACTTTTATATAATATAATTAAAGTGAAATACTGGAGAAATGGAATTAAAAATATTAAACACAAGCAAGGATTTGCATTTTTAGGGTCATCAGAAAGTAAATTATTCTCCCCATTTGTTATTAACATATGTAAATGCTCGCTCTCAGTTTCAAGCTATCGAGGCAGAGCCATGACAATTCATGGAGCTGCACTGACCTGTGGACCATACTTTGTGAAGCTCTGCTCAGAGCAAAAGGCAGTGACACATCTCTCTAATGGAAGTCTATTGTCCCTAGACAATGATGGACAGGTACTCTTCA